TGTGTTCAGTCCATGGAAACCAAATGGAATCGAAAATTTGGTCAACCTAAATTTCGGCTTAGCCAATAATGATGAGAACTGCAAACCGGACAAAAATTTGTGGTTGAATTTGATTCAAACTGAGAATCTATTTGATTCGAGTATTGAAAAGCCAAACCATATAAAGAAAAAAAAAATCAAAAAAAAAAATAAAAAAAAAATAGGGCTATGTCTTTTATTGATGCTCCGTTTAAATTCGGTCTTTTTAGACTCAAAACGTTTAGCCCGAGCTCATTAGAGCTAATCCGTTTAACTTGGGTTGGACAGTATAAATATTTGCAGCGTGGAAGGATTATGCCACAATATTCCATGTATATTACAATTTTGTTATATTTCACATATAGTTATGAGCTGTAACGGGTAATTATGATTTTGAAATATAATTATTAATAATTTATTATTCTACTTGACACCAAAATATTTAATCCAATCATAAAGGCTAATATAGAACACATGAGACAAAGATCTAACACATAGAATATAATGATAGCTAGTTAGAATATAAATTAAATAGTATGATACATTATTGTAAGAATTCTCAAATCGTACAAAATAATTAGCAAAATGGTATTTATAAGCAATAGTTTAAGTTTTTTTTTTTATTTTGAGAAAAAAAAAATATGTTATTTAAGAGTTCGTAATGTGTTCATATATGAAGTGTAATTGTGTGTATATGTAGAATGGTAAATACGAAATAGCCGTTGGAAAAAAAAAAACATTAGATAACTAGCCGTTGTAATTATTTATATATCTTTTTGATATATTATTGTTATTATTATTATTATTATTATTATTATTATTATTATTATAGCCGTTTAGTCTGAGACTCGCTAGGGTCCCGTTTAAATCCGATTATTTTTAAGCCAGGACCGTTTAGCCTGTTTGATTAGTTGTAGTTAGTTCCCATTTAAAATAGAGAAAATTTGTATATTGATTTGATTCATGAATCATTGTATATAGAAAAAAATAAGTAACTATTTTTAATTTTAATTTAACAATATTTGCTCGAGCTCATCTGAACATGTGTGTGTTTAAAGTAAAATAGATATATACTGACATATATGAAAACAGTAGCATAGACTTCAACTTACATTTAAACCCCTCCTATTGATTACATGATAATGCTCTCCTATTCACAAATAGGTTGACACATGTTAATATGTCCACCGTTTATGTGGCATGCACACATTGATGATGTTAATATATTTAAACAAATACATTACCAGTGAGTGAATGCCACATAAACGGTGAACATATTAACATGTGTCCACCATAGATAGGTAAGCATTACTGATTAATTACAATCAACTTATTAATTGCTTCAATAAAATAAATACTCCGTAACAATATACTACCTCCTATTCTTTTTAAATGTCATTTTGACTTTATCAACTATTAACTAAATAAATGTCGTTTTAGATCTTTTGTACATGTTTTTTCCATTATTACCCTCATTTAGTCAATAAATACACTACGTCTTTCCATATTCCCTCTTCATTTTTTCTCAAAACATTCATCTCTATCTTCATTAAGTAGGGTTATTATTGAAAACAAAAATATTCTTAATTATTGTTCAACTACTCAAAACGACATTTATTTTGAATAGGAGGGAGTATAATAAATGTATGGATCAGATAAATAATGTTGACATAAATAATGGACTGTAACTCTATGGTATGGTCCTTCGAAATTTATAATTAAATTAATTAATTTTGCATGTAATAAAAGTAGGACTAAATTCACTGAATTCTAAGCCGAATCCTTGAGAACGGAATTCTGATACTCTATATGGTAGGGTCCCTCGAAATTTATAATATAATTAAATAGTAGTAATAAATAATTGAATAATGCTACTTGTACCCCTTGGTGTACCACTTGGTTTACATCCAAGGGATACATGTACCCATTTACTCTTAATGAATTATTTACTAAATTATTCATTAAGGGTAAATGGGTACATGTACCCCTTGAATGTAAACCAAGTGGTAAACCAAGAGGTACATGTAGCATGATCCTAAATAATTTGCATGTAATAAATTAAAAGTAGGACTAAATTCACTGAATTTTTAGTAAGCCGAAATCTTGAAAACGGAATTTGAAATAAAGCAACTGAATTTGATCAAAAAATAAATAAATAAAGCAACTGAAAAAGCGGATATATATATATAGGTAAAGGATCATATGAGAATGGTTTCTAGTGAAAGAAATAAGAATGAATTTGGAGCATTGGATCTACCACATCAATGGTTATGATGAAGTCAAACTT